TAGACTTCTTTTGGTAGTATGGGCATGGTCACTGTAGTAATCATACCAGTCCAGGAGTATGGGAGGTCTTCTATTTTCTGGTATCCTTTTCAATTTCTTTTTTTAATATCTTGAACTTTTCATCAAACAAGTCTTTTACTTCCTTGGTTATTTCTATTTCAAGATAATTTTGCATTGATTATGAATGGTATAGTTTCCTTGATTTCTTTCTCACTGTGTTTGTCATTTTATATAGGAAGGCACTGATTTTTGTGTATTAGTTTTTATCCTGCTAGTTTGCTGAATATATCAGCTTTAGGAACTTTCTATTGGAGTATTTAAGGTATTTTACATATGGAATTATATTATGTTCAAATAAACATACATTGACTTCATCCTTTTCTATTTATATATCCTTTTCTGCTTTTTGCTTGTCTTCTTGTTCTAGCTAAGTAACAGGCCAAACAAGAGTGGGGAGAGTGCATATTTTCTTGTTCCTGAGTTTTTATGAAATGCCTTGAGTTTTTCTCTGTTTACGATGATGTTGGTTATGGGCTTCCTGTGTTGTGTTGAGATATGTCTCCTCTATCCCTATTCTTTCCAGAACTTATATCATGAATCAGTTGGATTTTTGTCAAAGTTCTTTTCTGAATGAAATGAGGTGATCTTGTGGTTTCTTCCATTTAGTTGATTTATGTGATGTTATGTGGTGTTGATTTACGTGATTTATTGATTTATATATGTTGAGCCATCTCTCCATCTCTTGGGTGAAATCTACTGTATCATGGTAGATAATCTTTTTTATGTTCTTTGGTTTTTTAAGTATTGAGAATTTTTGCTTCTGTATTCATTGGTGATATTAGTCTATAATTTTTATTAAGTCTTTGTCTTATATTAATATTATGGTAATTATGACTGCATAAGAGGATTTGGAAATGTTCTCTTTCATTTTTTGAATACTTTAATGAATTTTGGTATTAGTTCTCTAATGTTATATAGAATTCTTCACTGGATCCATCTGGCTCTGGGCTTTGTTTAGTTAGGATATTTTAAATTACTGCTTCTGATTCACAAATTTAACTCTTTCTTTTAGATTTTCTGGTTTGGTAGAATATTAAAACTTTAAAGATATCTTTCTTTTTATCTCCAGTTTTATTAATTTATATCCTTTCTTTTGGTTATTTTTGCTGAATATTTGTCAATCATGTTGCTATGTTCAGAGTACTAACATCTTATTTTATCGATATTTTATATTTTTTTCATTTCTAGTTTATAAATTTCAGCCCTGACTGTTATTATCTCTTCCTATCTACATTTTTAGGGCATTGGTTGTTCTTGTTTTTCAATTGCCTTCAGGTACATCATTAAGTTATTTATTTGCGATCTCTCAAATCTTTTAATATAGAAACACAGTGTTACAAACTTGCCTTTTATGACTGCTTTCATTGTGTATTTTTATCTTCATTCAATATTAGAATAAAAGCTAATACCCTTCTTGCTTCTCCCAATTTTGGCTCAGTATTGTGTTGTTTAATGTTCATGAATTAGTGCAGTTTTTGTCTTGTCTGAGGTTCAGATAGAATGGAGCATGTAATTTTGATTTTGCTGCATTTGTTGAGATTTGTTTTGTGTCTCATTTGATGGAAACTCCTATGGGCTGAGGAGAAGAATGAATATGTATTCTTTAGTGTTTGGGTGAAATATTCTCTATATATGTATTAAGTCCATTTAATTTTTAATGTCATTTAACTCCAGAGTTTCTTAATTTGGTCTATTTAGTTCTTTTTCAGATAACCTGTTTATTGGTTAAAATTTGGTCTTGAAAATTCCCTCTTACTCTTTTGGGAATTGTTTGTGGTTGTAAGTCTAAAAGTGTTGTTTTTATGCAATTTAGCAGCTATTTTTGGTGCATATATGTTTAGGAATGTTATATCCTATTGAAATTTTTCATCATTGAGAGGATAAAATGTCCCTCTCATCTAATTTGTTTTGGTTTGAAGTCTGTTTCGTCAAATATTAGAATACTACATTTACTAACTTCTTGGTTCATTTGCTTGTAATATCTTTTTCATCCTTTTATCCTGTAGTGGTCTGTATCATTGGTCAGGAGGGGTGTGTCTTAAAGGTAGCAACAAGATGGATCTTGTTTTTTAATCCAATCTGTTAGTCTGTTGGTCTTTATTGGGAAGTTGAGTACATAAAAATGAAGTTATTGTTGAAAAAATGTGTATTAATCTCTGTCATTTTGTTGCTGTTATGATCTTCTATTAGATCTCTTTTGATTTAGTGTTCTGAAATTGTTTACTTGTTCCTTGTACCTTTTTGTGTGTGTTTAACCTTCAAGTATTTCTTTCAGTATCTTCTGTAGAGCTGGCTTAGTGGCCCTAATTTTCTTAAATATATTTTTGTCTTGGAAAAAAAGCTTTCTCCTTCAATTATGGATATAGCGGTCTAGAATGATATCTTTGTCCTCTCCTAAGTCATAGAACATTGGTACCAAACCCTTCTGTATTTCATGGTCTCCATTGAAAAATCTGCTGTAATTCTGATGGGCTGCCTTTGTGTGTGTTGATCTTTTTCTCTTGATGCTTATAATGTTTTGACTATTATGTGCTATATGTAGTTTCTTTTGTGCTTCCCTCTCTTGTGTTATTCTCTATGTCTCTTGGATCTTGATAAACATATCCTTTCATACATTAGGGAAGTTGTCTTGTATTGTTTTGTTGAGAATATTTTCTGTGCCTTTGGCTGGGTCTCTTCTTTTTATACCTATTATTCATAGGTTTGTCCTAGAGGTACACATGTTCCTCTACTTTAGATTTGACATTTCCTTTGACTGTGTGAACAATTTCTTCTACATTGTCTTAAAGAATTGACATTCTCTCTTCCACTTGGCAATATCAATTGGTAAAGCTTTCCTCTGATGTTTTTGTCTGAATTCTTGAATTTTTCATTTGAATTCTTGAATTTTTCATTTCAAGTTTTATTTCATTTTGACTTTCTCCAGTAATTCTGTCTCTTTATTATGTTCTGTTTTCATATCTTCATATCTTTTTATTTTGTTCAACTGCTCGTGTTTTCCTGGTCTTCACTATGGCATTTATTCATATTCTCTTTAAACTCTTTAATAATAGTTATTTCTATTTTGACACCATTGTCTTGTACATTATTAAGTCACTTTTCTTAGGGACATTACTATTGAAGAGCTAATTTTATAGGGACTTATAATTTGGCATATTCATGTTTGTATATTTGCTAAAGGATCTAGTCATCTGGAGGTAGGTTGTTAGTACTGTTTCTTGGTATAGAAACCTCGCCTCTCTATTGCTGAGTGAGTGTTTTCAGCTCTGTTTCCTATTACTCCAACTTGTCAAGTGGCTAGCCATTTGCATGGAGTTTAGGGTTGAATCTTTGGGGAATTCAGTTTAAATGTTGAAATGGGGTAACAGAAACAGTCCTGGTTCTTCTTAAGTTAAGTGCAATTTACAAGCTCAGAAACAATTTTTCTGTGGAGTTTTTTCTGTAGAGATTTTTACATTTAATCTTCAGGAGCTTGTTCAAGATGCTTTGGACTTTTCCTCAGTCTATGGGTATAATGCTGGTGTGGGTCTAATATCTCTCTCTGAAGAGGAAGGTCCTCAGGTTGTACGGATGGCTATTATTGGTAGTGTAAGTTTAGTGTCTGTGAACAGAAGGGACCAAATGTGTCAAATGTGATGATGGAATTGGTAGGGGGTGTATGGATGGGGTGGTGGCAGAAATTTTGTCTATGCCTTGAGATGGGGGGCAAGGGTGCTTTCAGGAGTGGATAGAGTTACCAGTGTGAGGTGGACTTCCCTACTTGATGTGGATATGGAGAAAGAGGAGTCAGAAAGCAGGTAAACAAGAAATATTTCTTAGGCAGGTCTAAGTGGGGGGTAGAGTTGCTTGTGTGGGTCTGAAGAGGGGCAGTCTTTAGGTGGAGGGAGTGTGTAGTTGGCAGCACCACCAATCTTGTGTGTTTCTAGAGAAGGGACCAGATGTGCCTAGTGGGCATGAGTGGTTTGGCCAGAGTGGTTAGAGTTGAGTTGGAAGCAGGGTATATAGGCTCCCTGGGTAGGGATGCACACAAGAATGTGTGGCAGGTGTGAATGGTATTGGTGGCTGCTTAAATTAGGTCTCCATACCTGAAGAAGATGTGCCAAAGTGTTGTAGGAACAACTTTTTTATGTTTGATTAAATTCTTAGCACTAGTTGTAGTGAAATTTTAATGATTAAACTGATTTTCAACATTAAAATATTTTGTACCCATTTTAGTGATCATAAAGTCTTTGGTTGTTATTAAGGTTCATCACATAGTATTGCTATGTTTAGCTTTTTATAAATTTCTGCAGAAATACATGTTATATTAATAAGCTTGTTTAGTCCTTCTTAAATTAATTTTTAAAATTAACTTTTAAAGTCAACATACAAAGTGATGGGTTTCATTATGATATTTTCATATATATGTGTTATTATGTATCTTTTAAAAAAGCATATGCCATTAGGATATTTGCCAGATATTACATGATTAGAAAGAAATTAAACCAGATTTTTTTGCCTCCTTCTCTCCCTCCTCCTTCTTCTGCTGTTTCTGTTCTAAAACAGCATTTCATCCAACAGAAGAAAAATAATATTTCAACTCTTTTATGGCAGATTAGCACATTTAAATTCAAATTCAGCAATTAATTTATTAATTTTTTAAATAAAATACATAAAAGGAACTTCAGATGTACTTATAAAAATTTATTTCATTTAACTTGATTTAGGTTGACTTGTGTGTCTCTTAAGAAACACAGTGGGAAACATACATTTACTATAAATACATTCCTATTAGCTGGTATTCTCAATACTAATATTTTAGATTTATTCATGTGTATGTGTATGCCCATGTGTAGATATGCATGCTTCAAATATAATTCTTTTATTTAGCCACAGAATGTCTGAGAAATATAAGATGATTTAATTTAATTTCTGTTTTTCCCATTAAACCCTCAAATCAGGATGGAGATCCTGTTCGCCCAGGAGTGGCCATGACTGATCTTGCTACTGGCCTGTTTGCCTATGGAGCCATTATGGCTGGTCTCATACAACGTTACCGAACTGGAAAAGGACTGTTTATTGATTGTAATCTACTGTCATCTCAGGTACCAATTCAAATAACATTTTAGTTGATATAATAACGTATTTGTGGTATACCTTTCTTGATAGAATACAATGCTCACATTCCATTAAAATTAAATAAACAAACCACCCCCATAAACTTTTTGATGTATTTGCTTTCATTTTAAAATAAATATGAAATCATTTAAAAATCATGACAATTTTGTTACAATTTAAACATTGTTGTTGAATTAAAATTCCTGGGTCTTCTTGTACTAGAATGGTTTCAGTTCTCCTTGTGAGACCACAGTATAGTTTCCTCTATTTCATTGTCATATGAGCTCTGTAAGTTCCTTTGATGCTATTTGTTCACTTTTTATGTGCCATGGACTCTCTTGTAAGTCTGATGAAATATATGGACCTTATCTTGGGATCATATTTTTGAGGTCATAAGATGAGATAATTCAATTACATAAGAAGTGAGTTATACGGAAATATATTTTCCTCAATGTAAAAATCATTTTTGTGTTATCATAATATATTGTTGTTACTAACATTAAACTTTATGGAAATTGAACTATGCTATGTAAGTGCTCCACTCCTATGCTGTATTCCCAGCCTTCTTTTTACTCTTCATTTTGAGATAGTTTTACCAAGTTGACTGATCTTGAACTTAAAACATAGACTAGGGAGACTTTGAACATCTTTGGATATATTTCTGCTTTTATCCTCTGGCAATACAATGGTGATTGCAGCACCATTTAAATTTTGATGTTAAGAAGAAATGATATTTCAAGAAATATGCACTAGATAATATGATATGAACTGAAAATGATGTGAAAGGATGTGTAAGATTATCAGTGATCAGTCACAGATATTGCTAATGCTCTGGTGCTTTTGTTGCTTGTTTTCCTAATTGTTCAGGTCAGGGGTTGATGAAAATAAAGAAATCATTTTTTGCACCCATGCTATTTAACTCCTAAAACTCCGTCCATAGACTATCTTCCCTAGTTTAGACAGTTACATTTTCACTGTAGCAAGCACAGGACTGGTGAAACAGAAGGGTTAATTCACTTTTAACATGACATTTTGCCTCCTTTACTGGATCAGACCCAGATGCTGTACCATATGTGGAAGTTGATTCTGAATAGATAATTTTTCAGGGATAGGAAAAAGAAAATATCTAATTTGTGCAAGGAGACATTTTACTGTGGGAAAATTACATTCTAGACATAGAGATCTCAGTTGGGAATTTCAGATTTAAGTGGCATACATGGGAAAATAGTAAAGTTGGAACACCACATTGGAGATTTTTTTCTCTTAGGCAAAATTAAGGAGGTGTATCAAAATAAAAAAGTCAATATGGTTGATGGTAAAATAGTGCGTATGAGTTTTTAACAGCAATGTTGAATTACTGTCAGAATTTTAATGGCTTTATAAAAGGAGTTATCTTGCTTCTCTACAGAAAGTCATAGGTGGTAGTTATGGGAAGAAACTAAAAGTCTTTTCTTTGTTTGTGTTAATAGCTGTAATGAACCTGAAGTAAGTTAAGTAACAACATAAAACTTACATATCCAATAAATGTGGAAGACATGAAAGTTTCATAGGTGTGTGATATGTGTAATCTTATAGGAATCTGAGCTTTGTAGGTCATACTGTCTGTGTCTTAAGTGCTTAACATTTCTGATCAGAAGATTTATTTTTCATTTTCATCAATCCTCCCAAATAATGTAGTCAGTTTTGTCTATACCAACTTCTTTATATTCAATGAATATATTAACTTTGAAAACAATTATCTATTATAGTATAGATAATAGAGGTTAAAAAAATCTTTGAGCACTATATTTGTGATTCCCCATGTGGAATATATTCCTTCCTGTAAGCTGCTTCAAAATGAGTAAATTCATGCCCACATACACACAGATATTTGTTGACGGAGGTTTCTGTCCCACCCTGTCCTGCAGTCTTTCAGTCCCAAATAAACATACAGAGGCTTATATTAATTATAAACGGTTTGGTCTATGGCTTAGGCTTATTACTAACAAGCTCTTACAACTTAAATTAACCCATGATTCTTATTTGTGTTGAGCCACGTGGCTTGGTACCTTTTCTCAGTATGGCATTCTCATCTTGCTTTCTCCAAGTCTGGCTGGTGTCTGCATCTCTGCCTTTCCTCTTCCCAGAATTCTCCTCACTTGGTAGCCCTGCCCATACTTCCAGCCTGGCTATTGGCCAATCAGTGTTTTATTAAACCAATATGAGTGCCAAATCTTTACAGTGAATAGGAGCATTATCCCACATCATTTCCCCCTTTTTTCTTTTCAAAACAAGAACCTTGAATCTAATTACCTTTGTTTAACTTTTTTTCTTGACCATTATCCAGAACAACTTGTAACCAACATGTTAAACAAAGACAAACATCCAGAATCCATTTTTGTGGGAATGTAGGTGTAGTTTTCTAGGCTGCTTCCTTCTGATTGGGGCCACTGGTAGTCTTATGGCTACCCAAAGAAAATTTAGGATTATGATCAAGTCCTAACTGGAGTATTCTGTGAGGCTAGATCATTTCAACCAGCAGTCTTGAAGCTGTTCTGGATGCAGAACTCAGAAGAAACCATAACTGAGGTGCTCTGAATCTTTGGATCATCTGGGTCATCCATTCCCACTAGGGATTTTTCAGGGGGTTTTTCCTTGATCAAATTTTTTTCTTAACACAGAATGAATCTACAGCCCCTCATTTCCTGTGGAAACAAAAGCAAAACCTCTTTTCCAAAGTAACATATCCTTTGACTTAAATTTTGAAGTCAAGGCATTTTCAAAATATATAGGTTTGATTAACCTACTCAAAGCCTTTACACACTATAGTTTGATCAAACAAGGGCCCCTGAAGCAGTGGCCCAGGTGATGGTTCCCTGGGCATTCAAGCAAGATATCACCACAGATATTTATTAAAATCAGTGTGTGTGTGTGTGTGTGTGTGTGTGTGTGTGTGTGTGTGTGTGTGTGTGTGTGTGTGTGTATTTGTATTTAGGCATGGTATCCATGTTGATTGTTGAGACTGAAAGCTCCAATAGTCCAAGGAAATGTTTTTTTTTTTGTGCTTTTCACTGTATCTTAAATGCTCAGTTTGTCAAATATTTGTCAAATAACAAGTTATCAGTGGTATTATTCTTTGAGTGAAAAATATCCTCCTTAGACTTATATGTTTGAAAATTTAGTTCCAAGCTGATGGTACTGTTTGGGAAGGGTATGGATCCTCTGGGAGGTGGAAACTACCCAGAGGAAGTGTGCCTTTTGGGGGTAGGTCTGGAAGTTTTGTAGCCTGGCTGCATTTCCTATTCTCTCTCTGCTTCCTTATTGGTAATACAGTGTGTCCTACTAGACTTTACTCCTGCCACCATGCCTTCCCTTCCTGCTGACATACCTTGATGGAATTATCCCCTGAAACTGTTAGCCAGAATAAATAGACTTATTCACTTAAATACTGTCTTCTCAGGTATTTGGTTATGGCAACAAGAAAAGCAATCAACACAGAAAATTGGCACTAAAAAGTGGGGCTTTTGTTTTTATAAACCTAATCATGTAGTTCTGAAGCCTAGGCTTCAGAACTGGTTTACAGGAGGAATACCTTGGGTTTCTACTGCTGTGAACAGATACCATGACCATGAAAACTCTTAAAAACGAAACATTTAATTGGGTGTCTCACTTACAGTTCAGAGGTTCAGTCCATTATCAACATGGTGGGGAACATGGTAGCTTGCAGGAAAATGTGGTATTGGAGAAGTAGCTTAGAGGCCTACATCTCATAGGCAACAGCAATTCCACTGAAACACTGGGCAGTATCCTGAGCATAGGAAATCTCAAAACCTGCTCCCACAGTGACACACTTCCTCCAGCAAGGCCATACCCACTCCAACAAAGCCACACCTCCTAGTAGTGTCACCCCCTATGAGATTATGGGGAACAGTTACATTCAAACTACCACAAGGAGTGTGGAAAGATTTGGAACTTTGGGCTAGAAAAATCCACAGAATTCTGTGAGAAGAGCTTAATGGGCTATTCTTGTGGGAGTTCAGAAGATCAGAAAGGTAAGTGGAGTGCAGACAGTGGAAGACTGGTCTAGTGAGGTTTCAGAGGGAAACAAAGACTTTGTCTAGTAATGGGCTTGCTTTAATTACAGGTGGGCAAAAAAACTTGGCAGTTTACTTTCCATTGGATGAGAGCTTGTGTGAAACTGAATTAAAAAGCAACAGACTAATTTCATTGGTAGAAGAAATTTCAAGGTAGCATAGCATTCAGTCTGTGACATGGTTACTTCTCACTGTTCTTATTCAAACTGACAGAGCAAAAAGAATGAAATACATGAAGTTTAGCAAGGAATGCTGTGTGAGCAAGTTTAAAATTGTGAACAAGGAGCAGAACATTCAGAGGACAAAAAGAGTAACCTCAGTCTCTTCAATAGGAAAGGTGCCTTAAAGGCAAGACCCCACCCATCAAAGGCCCCAACTTGTAAAAATGCAAATTTATTTGAAAGGAGAACGTGGCTGAGAATGCCACAGAATGGATTTTTTTCTTTTTTTTGCTGGACACAATTTTGCCTATGAAAGTGATATTGCAGATTCATCATCCACCAGGGCATATCCAGGAAAATACAGCTTTGGCTCAAAATAGCCAGGCTACATCTTGGGCTGGCAGCAGAACTTGGCCATGTAGTCTAAATTGTAGTCTAAATTGCTAGCTTTGAAGATTCAAGACTGAGGGATCATGGACCCTTACTCCAAAGTTAGAGGGAGCTGCTGAGGCCAGTCAATGTGTGGCAGTGTTAGAGCCTTTGCAAGGAGGGCCTGGAAAGCCACTGCATGAAGCTGAGATTTTATCCAAGTCAGTTGCAATGAAGGCCCCAGGAAGTAGGAGACGCCAGGACCATGGCACATCTGTCAAGGAAAGAGCCAGACATGGAATGGAGCCTGTGTAATCGAGATGCTATGTGCGTTATACGTAACAGAGGTAGCAGGCCAGAGAAACCCTCTGGAGAACAGAAGAA